TGATGTTGGGAGAACGTTGATGTTGGGAGAACGTTGATGTTGGGAGAACGTTGATGTTGGGAGAACGTTGATGTTGGGAGAACGTTGATGTTGGGAGAACGTTGATGTTGGGAGAACGTTGATGTTGGGAGAACGTTGATGTTGGGAGAACGTTGATGTTGGGAGAACGTTGATGTTGGGAGAACGTTGATGTTGGGAGAACGTTGATGTTGGGAGAACGTTGATGTTGGGAGAACGTTGATGTTGGGAGAACGTTGATGTTGGGAGAACGTTGATGTTGGGAGAACGTTGATGTTGGGAGAACGTTGATGTTGGGAGAACGTTGATGTTGGGAGAACGTTGATGTTGGGAGAACGTTGATGTTGGGAGAACGTTGATGTTGGGAGAACGTTGATGTTGGGAGAACGTTGATGTTGGGAGAACGTTGATGTTGGGAGAACGTTGATGTTGGGAGAACGTTGATGTTGGGAGAACGTTGATGTTGGGAGAACGTTGATGTTGGGAGAACGTTGATGTTGGGAGAACGTTGACGTTGGGAGAACGTTGACGTTGGGAGAACGTTGATGTTGGGAGAACGTTGATGTTGGGAGAACGTTGATGTTGGGAGAACGTTGATGTTGGGAGAACGTTGATGTTGGGAGAACGTTGATGTTGGGAGAACGTTGATGTTGGGAGAACGTTGATGTTGGGAGAACGTTGATGTTGGGAGAACGTTGATGTTGGGAGAACGTTGATGTTGGGAGAACGTTGATGTTGGGAGAACGTTGATGTTGGGTTGGGAGAACGTTGATGTTGGGAGAACGTTGATGTTGGGAGAACGTTGATGTTGGGAGAACGTTGATGTTGGGAGAACGTTGATGTTGGGAGAACGTTGATGTTGGGAGAACGTTGATGTTGGGAGAACGTTGATGTTGGGAGAACGTTGATGTTGGGAGAACGTTGATGTTGGGAGAACGTTGATGTTGGGAGAACGTTGATGTTGGGAGAACGTTGATGTTGGGAGAACGTTGATGTTGGGAGAACGTTGATGTTGGGAGAACGTTGATGTTGGGAGAACGTTGATGTTGGGAGAACGTTGATGTTGGGAGAACGTTGATGTTGGGAGAACGTTGATGTTGGGAGAACGTTGATGTTGGGAGAACGTTGATGTTGGGAGAACGTTGATGTTGGGAGAACGTTGATGTTGGGAGAACGTTGATGTTGGGAGAACGTTGATGTTGGGAGAACGTTGATGTTGGGAGAACGTTGATGTTGGGAGAACGTTGATGTTGGGAGAACGTTGATGTTGGGAGAACGTTGATGTTGGGAGAACGTTGATGTTGGGAGAACGTTGATGTTGGGAGAACGTTGATGTTGGGAGAACGTTGATGTTGGGAGAACGTTGATGTTGGGAGAACGTTGATGTTGGGAGAACGTTGATGTTGGGAGAACGTTGATGTTGGGAGAACGTTGATGTTGGGAGAACGTTGATGTTGGGAGAACGTTGATGTTGGGAGAACGTTGATGTTGGGAGAACGTTGATGTTGGGAGAACGTTGATGTTGGGAGAACGTTGATGTTGGGAGAACGTTGATGTTGGGAGAACGTTGATGTTGGGAGAACGTTGATGTTGGGAGAACGTTGATGTTGGGAGAACGTTGATGTTGGGAGAACGTTGATGTTGGGAGAACGTTGATGTTGGGAGAACGTTGATGTTGGGAGAACGTTGATGTGACGTTGACGTGGAGAACGTTGACGTTGGGAGAACGTTGACGTTGGGAGAACGTTGACGTAGGGAGAACGTTGACGTTGGGAGAACGTTGACGTTGGGAGAACGTTGACGTTGGGAGAACGTTGACGTTGGGAGAACGTTGACGTTGGGAGAACGTTGACGTTGGGAGAACGTTGATGTTGGGAGAACGTTGACGTTGGGAGAACGTTGATGTTGGGAGAACGTTGATGTTGGGAGAACGTTGATGTTGGGAGAACGTTGATGTTGGGAGAACGTTGATGTTGGGAGAACGTTGATGTTGGGAGAACGTTGATGTTGGGAGAACGTTGATGTTGGGAGAACGTTGATGTTGGGAGAACGTTGATGTTGGGAGAACGTTGATGTTGGGAGAACGTTGATGTTGGGAGAACGTTGATGTTGGGAGAACGTTGATGTTGGGAGAGGAGAACGTTGATGTTGGGAGAACGTTGATGTTGGGAGAACGTTGATGTTGGGAGAACGTTGATGTTGGGAGAACGTTGATGTTGGGAGAACGTTGATGTTGGGAGAACGTTGATGTTGGGAGAACGTTGACGTTGGGAGAACGTTGACGTTGGGAGAACGTTGACGTTGGGAGAACGTTGACGTTGGGAGAACGTTGACGTTGGGAGAACGTTGACGTTGGGAGAACGTTGACGTTGGGAGAACGTTGACGTTGGGAGAACGTTGACGTTGATGTTGGGAGAACGTTGATGTTGGGAGAACGTTGATGTTGGGAGAACGTTGATGTTGGGAGAACGTTGATGTTGGGAGAACGTTGATGTTGGGAGAACGTTGATGTTGGGAGAACGTTGATGTTGGGAGAACGTTGATGTTGGGAGAACGTTGATGTTGGGAGAACGTTGATGTTGGGAGAACGTTGATGTTGGGAGAACGTTGATGTTGGGAGAACGTTGATGTTGGGAGAACGTTGATGTTGGGAGAACGTTGATGTTGGGAGAACGTTGATGTTGGGAGAACGTTGATGTTGGGAGAACGTTGATGTTGGGAGAACGTTGATGTTGGGAGAACGTTGATGTTGGGAGAACGTTGATGTTGGGAGAACGTTGATGTTGGGAGAACGTTGATGTTGGGAGAACGTTGATGTTGGGAGAACGTTGATGTTGGGAGAACGTTGATGTTGGGAGAACGTTGATGTTGGGAGAACGTTGATGTTGGGAGAACGTTGATGTTGGGAGAACGTTGATGTTGGGAGAACGTTGATGTTGGGAGAACGTTGATGTTGGGAGAACGTTGATGTTGGGAGAACGTTGATGTTGGGAGAACGTTGATGTTGGGAGAACGTTGATGTTGGGAGAACGTTGATGTTGGGAGAACGTTGATGTTGGGAGAACGTTGATGTTGGGAGAACGTTGATGTTGGGAGAACGTTGATGTTGGGAGAACGTTGATGTTGGGAGAACGTTGATGTTGGGAGAACGTTGATGTTGGGAGAACGTTGATGTTGGGAGAACGTTGATGTTGGGAGAACGTTGATGTTGGGAGAACGTTGATGTTGGGAGAACGTTGATGTTGGGAGAACGTTGATGTTGGGAGAACGTTGATGTTGGGAGAACGTTGATGTTGGGAGAACGTTGATGTTGGGAGAACGTTGATGTTGGGAGAACGTTGATGTTGGGAGAACGTTGATGTTGGGAGAACGTTGATGTTGGGAGAACGTTGATGTTGGGAGAACGTTGATGTTGGGAGAACGTTGATGTTGGGAGAACGTTGATGTTGGGAGAACGTTGATGTTGGGAGAACGTTGATGTTGGGAGAACGTTGATGTTGGGAGAACGTTGATGTTGGGAGAACGTTGATGTTGGGAGAACGTTGATGTTGGGAGAACGTTGATGTTGGGAGAACGTTGATGTTGGGAGAACGTTGATGTTGGGAGAACGTTGATGTTGGGAGAACGTTGATGTTGGGAGAACGTTGATGTTGGGAGAACGTTGATGTTGGGAGAACGTTGATGTTGGGAGAACGTTGATGTTGGGAGAACGTTGATGTTGGGAGAACGTTGATGTTGGGAGAACGTTGATGTTGGGAGAACGTTGATGTTGGGAGAACGTTGATGTTGGGAGAACGTTGATGTTGGGAGAACGTTGATGTTGGGAGAACGTTGACGTTGGGAGAACGTTGATGTTGGGAGAACGTTGACGTTGGGAGAACGTTGACGTTGGGAGAACGTTGATGTTGGGAGAACGTTGATGTTGGGAGAACGTTGATGTTGGGAGAACGTTGATGTTGGGAGAACGTTGATGTTGGGAGAACGTTGATGTGGGGAGAACGTTGATGTGGGGAGAACGTTGATGTGGGGAGAACGTTGATGTTGGGAGAACGTTGCTGTTGGGAGAACGTTGATGTTGGGAGAACGTTGATGTTGGGAGAACGTTGACGTTGGGAGAACGTTGACGTTGGGAGAACGTTGATGTTGGGAGAACGTTGATGTTGGGAGAACGTTGATGTTGGGAGAACGTTGATGTTGGGAGAACGTTGATGTTGGGAGAACGTTGATGTTGGGAGAACGTTGATGTTGGGAGAACGTTGACGTTGGGAGAACGTTGACGTTGGGAGAACGTTGACGTTGGGAGAACGTTGACGTTGGGAGAACGTTGACGTTGGGAGAACGTTGACGTTGGGAGAACGTTGACGTTGGGAGAACGTTGACGTTGGGAGAACGTTGACGTTGGGAGAACGTTGACGTTGGGAGAACGTTGACGTTGGGAGAACGTTGACGTTGGGAGAACGTTGACGTTGGGAGAACGTTGACGTTGGGAGAACGTTGACGTTGGGAGAACGTTGACGTTGGGAGAACGTTGACGTTGGGAGAACGTTGACGTTGGGAGAACGTTGACGTTGGGAGAACGTTGACGTTGGGAGAACGTTGACGTTGGGAGAACGTTGACGTTGGGAGAACGTTGACGTTGGGAGAACGTTGACGTTGGGAGAACGTTGACGTTGGGAGAACGTTGACGTTGGGAGAACGTTGACGTTGGGAGAACGTTGACGTTGGGAGAACGTTGACGTTGGGAGAACGTTGACGTTGGGAGAACGTTGACATTCTGGCACCAACAATACGTGACGAAGGAGAAACATTGACATTGGTGGAGAATGGGACGGCGGAATGGAGAGGGCGGGTGCACATGCGCGGGAAGCTCGTGAACGGCGGAAAGGAGAAGCGCGAGGGGTAAGCGGAGGGCGACGGACGAGCGCGCAAAGGCGAGCAGGGGAGGCAGGGAGGCAAGCAGGCGGGCAAGCAGGGAAGCGCACCGGCATCGCCTGAGTGAGTGAACTCGATGTGTCGAATGGGGTAGGGGCACTGGCGGTACGATAGTTGCTGGTCCAACCACCGCGTCTTCTCCTGCGCCGATACCTTGTCCTGCCATGGCGAAAACAACGAGAGGAAGGGAAGGAGGAGAGGGATGGAAGAAGGGCGAGGGAGAGAAGGGATGGAAGACGATTGACGAATGAGCGAAGAAGGGCGTTGAGAGCTGGGCGAGACAGGAGAGGGGTGGCACTGGAGATTACGGATATAGTTCCGACGCGGCAGGGCGCAGGCGAGTAAACGCATGGCGCTACACAGAAACGAGGACGAACGGCGAGTCTGAGAAGCGATCAAGGTGTCGTCGAATGGCGGAAAGAGGAAGCTAAGGGGCCGAGAAGTCGGGGGGGGAAGTGGCGGGGGCCAGGGCGCGAGGCGGCGAGGGACGAAGGGGGAGACGGGAGGTAACGCGCCGCACCTTAATCCGCGACGTGAGCACTACGACTTGCTGGTCCGGTCGGTACAATAGCGTCGAGTAGTACGACGGGTCTTCCAAGTCGCAGAGGTCCCCGCCGCAATATCCGTGCGCTCCTTGCAACTGCTGCGCCGACGGCGGCAAGAGCGCACGCATTCCCTGCGCAGCTGCCATCTCGTGCGCGTTCGGCGGGAGATGGTGAGGTATTTGCGGAAGCATTTGCGCCATGCCGTTGTGCGCGCTAGGCGGAAGGTGCATTGGCGGGCGCGGCTGCGCGAAATAATGGACGGGGTTGGGGGGAGGCGGGGAGTCCAACAATGGCGGGGAAGGGGAACCCGCCAGCGGCAATCCCGCGGGGCACGGGCCGGCGTAACACGAGTCGAATTGACCGTCATAGAACGACGGGGGTGACATATGGTCCATTAACATTGGTGCTGATCCCCCAGACATCCAGGCAGCCAATTGCGGGGACATTGGCATGCGCGGCGGCGAGCAAACACCAGGAGGAGGGGATGTGAAGAGCGGACGCTCGGAGTCTAAAAACATGGCTGGAGAAGTTGGGGGGAGGGGTGCTGCGATGCGATGGAGTGAAAATAGAGATTGTAGAACTAGACAGTGATGCTGACTGCTAGAATGGAGTTGGAAGGAATGCAGGGCCAAGTCTTGCTGGGAGCGAGAGGCACAAGCTACGTATTCGAGTCGACAGAGCAGAGCCAGGACGTCTGGGCTGCGTGTGGTGGTAGGTTGAGGGGAACAGTGAGTGGTGTGTGGTGGGGGGGCAGCACCGTGCTGCTGTGTCGTGGAAAGGATGGCGTGAGGAGAGGAGGGGAATGACACAATGGCCTGATAAAGTTTCAGTGCTCGAAGATTATGACAAACAAACCGCGACGTAACGTAAAACAACGTTCTCAAACTAACCACACTGTCCTCGACAAAGTTTTAGGTTTCGATTGTTGGTCTTTGTGGCCAAAATCCACTGCGGCGTGGCATGTGATGGCTGGTAGGGTGGTGCTGGGCAGACTGTGACGGGAGGTCAGGTCAGTGCTAGAAAACGACTGGTGGTTTGAGCGGGTGTGGGAGTGTGCTGGAAAGTGGGCAGCGTGGCTCGCTGGGCAGAACGGAAACTGGCCAAGTGACGTCCGTGCAAACTCTTTGGTTGTAAAAAAATAAGGCAAAGGATAAACATTTTTGTGCCCTGCGTCGTCCACCACAGCTTCTGCCAGCGAGTCGCCCGCAGATGGAGTTTTCATCAGTGCACAAATTTCGTTTTTTCGTCGGTCCCATAGGTTGCGTCGGGGTTTCGCTCTCGCGCGTCGGCTCGGATGTTGACGACGGCAAAACGCGATTCGAAAGGCTAACTGCACGGCACGGCGGAGTGCAGCAGATTCGCCTCACCCTTGCAGCGTCGTCTGTGCGAGACCATGCGACATGCGTTTTCCAGCAACAGTGTTGGCGATGCGTGGGTTTGGGGAGGGAAGGATCCTGCGAGGAGGTGTGCAAGGAACAGTGCCAGCACTGACGTGAAATGCTGTGCTGACGCAGAAGGTTGGGCTATGCGATGCGATGAGCAAGTCGGTCAATTTCAGACTGTGTGCGTCTAGTGGTCGGTGGCGAGTGTCATGATGGCTGCGATGAACACGCTTGCGACGAAGATGATGAAATGCTGTCGCACATGGTCTGCTTGCGACCTTGCTGCCAACGATGGAAGGGAATCGAGCTGGGCAAAACACAGAAGTCAAAACATCACTGCTGAACGATCGAATCGCCTGCGTCGCAAGCTGTCTCAGTCACCCGTCCTTCCACTTGCGAACTAGCAGTCCTTCGCCCGCCCGTCTCGTGCGGATGACGCAACGACAACTAGCTGGCTGTTCTTGTTTGAGACGGTTTCGTTACATCGACGGCTGCATAAAGCTACATCTCGATGATTAAACATAGTACATTCTGAAATTCTGATTAACATAAACAAAATAGCTGTGTGATTCTAAGGAATTTTCTCGATATTCCTTAGCGCACAGCAGCAGCCGTTGTTCGCGCGTTACTGCTCACGGGGCTTCGCCAACTTCGCGCGCACTGTTTTCCCAAACCTTGCACTGCTAGACCGGCCGTGTTGGCCTACACTTCGGGACTAGCCCGAGCCTCGCTTCCAGCGTAGCACTAGCTAGCTCGCACGCACCGCGTTACCGTTTGCATGTTTCGCGTATAAATGTTCGCTCATGCCTTCGCTCACATTTTGTACTCGTTTGACACCTTAGTGCGATTATCGCTACTTCGATTCATTGCACTCGCAACACTTGGTATTCAGAGCCTCTTTCTTCTCGGACCGCGGATCTCCGAACCCCAGGAAATTAACTTTTGATTTTTCACTCTCACGCACCTTAGCCTCTAGGAGCCGCTGTCCTCACGTTCTCACGTAAACGCGTGCAGCCACGACTGCGCCTAGACTAAGCCGAGTCGACGTCCCTCGTAATGGCTGAGCATATCGATGTCACGACTCTCACGCAGGAGCACTTGAACGAACTGCTGCGGCAAATCCGCGAAAGCTCTGAAGAAATCACGGCGCTGACGGCAGAACGCACGTCCCTGCAAAATGACCTCGCACGAGCACAATCCCAAGCACCTGGCACTCCGATTCAGCACGCACCACAGACATCGCAACACGGAAGCGTGGGGCATCCCGCGAGCGCCGCAAGTGATGGCGTCGTCCGCCATTACGGAGACGACGACCACGGCACGACACACCCCGACGCCGGCCAGAAATCAGCCTCGAGTCACCATTTCGGTGCAAGCCGGCGAATCAACCTTACCGTCGCCGATGTCGCTGAAGCCGCAGCGTCCGCCATGCTTTGACCCAAGTCAGCGGGGTGGTCCTACCGTTCAGGCGTCGCTCTTCACGTTGAACGTTTTCTTCGACGCGAACTACGTCTCGGAGGATACGGCGAAGATTCGATACGCCGTGTCGTTGCTGCGAGGACCCGCCATGGACTGGTGGCGTGTCATCGTCACGAAGCAGGTGGACTACGCGACTCTACCGACACGGGAAGGACAAACCGGACCCTGGGCGCCGTCGTATTTCGTGGAGGTGCCCCAGTATCGCACGTGGGACGCGTGGTGCGCAGGTCTGCGCGCTCGTTTCGAGCCAATTGCGGCTTCGATCGCGGCGCGACAGAGGCTCCGCACTTGGCGCCAACTCGGTTCCGTCCAAGACTACACGAGCGGGTTTCTGGCGCTATGCGAGCAGGTGGGATACATGCACGAGAGCGAGCGCATCGACCGCTACATCGGCGGCCTGAAGCAGGACATCGCGCAGGAAATCCAGCTTCGCGGCGTCACCGATTTTCAGGAGATTCTCGCCATGGCGGAGAAACTCGATTTCTTCCGCCGACCGAGACCGGGGTCCTACGGAAGCATCAATTGGGGACATTGGTCTCGTGGGACGAACGAGGGCGCTACGATACGTGCCGTCGCCGCAAATGCCGCTGCTGTACCATTCAAAGGGCGCTGCTTTGCGTGCAATCGGCCGGGACACCGCAAGAGCGAATGCCCGGAAAACGCTAAGGGAAAGGGGGAAGCTGAGCAGCAGAAACAGACCAAGCAGCAGGGAAACGCTGGGAGTCAGTAGCAGACGGGCCCTCTACTGACAGGTCACGCCGCTCGCCCGACCCAACCGACCCTCACCGAGTGATTGTGCCGGTTCACGCAGTCGACTGTGAATCAAGAAAAACAGGAATGAGAATGACTAAGTGAAAGTTGGGTACAAGAAGCAAACCCTAGAAAACTGTACCCCATATGTGCTACCCCACTCTAGCCTACAGTAGCTATGTCATATAAATCTGACACACCCCCATAGGCAAAGTGGGGGAGAACAAGGGGTCACAAGACCAGTCAAGCAAAGCAAAGCAAAAAACAAGCTCAGGGTGGATCACAAAGTCACCACACATTCCGAGCACAAGTTCAAGGCCACAAGGCCAGTTCACAAGCAGGAGTACACATATATATAAAAAAGGCTAGACAAACAAGAGCAGGTATATATATATATAACAGTACAAGCAAGATCAAGAGGTGAGCAAGTGAGGCAAGGTAGGCACAAGGCCCAGCTGAGTACAGAAGCGCTGATGGTCACAAGGCGCAAGTGCCTTGGTGAAGATATCAGCAGTGTTGGCCTCAGAGGCCACGTACGCAAGACGCAGCTGACCACGCTGCTGCAGCTCACGAGCAAGAAAGTAGCGGAGAGCAACGTGCTTCGTTCTGTGCTCCAGTCGCTGCTCCCGACACAAGGCCAGCATGGCCTTGTTGTCTACGTACAGCACTGGAGGAGAACGAGGCAACTCTCCGAGGTCAGTCAGCAGGTAGGTGAGCCAGCGAAGCTCCTGTGCAGCCATGGCTCCTGCGTAGATCTCAGCCTCATAACTGGAGCCGAGAACAGAAGACGAGCGAGTAGCCCGCCACGAAACAGAGCCGGAACCAAGGCTGAAGGTGTAACCCTGCGACGACCGCTGCGTAGCCTGGTCGTCAGCCCAAGAAGCGTCTGCGTGCCCAGTAAGGACCACTGGACTCTGCCCTCCAAGCACAAGCCCCATGCCCGACGTACTGCACAAGTAGCGCAACACCCTCTTCGCTGCAGCCATGTGCTCCGGTCTGTGTC